TCTGAAACTTTGTATATGTTTATGATTCAAAATATAAAAGATTTTATTGCTGAAATAATGGCTGGAAGTCGTGGATTAGGGCACACAGATTATGGTGGGTTAGTTCTATATTAAAGACAATTATTGAGGCTTTTGTAAGATTTATGATTTGGCTGTTAGTATTTTTTTATCACTAATTGATACATAGAAGTTCATTTGTCGAAATAATGGCTGGAAGACATGGATTTCGGGCACCCGAGTTCTGATGTTCCTGTATCCTATAAATATTTAAAACAAGTTTTATTTGTTATTTTCAACAAAATTTATTAAAAAAAGGTCAAGTTATTTTTTCAGTTCCTATTATTATTTTAAATGTAATTGGTTAATCTCATAACGATAACATAAAATGTTTCACAATCAATTTTATCAGTATTTGGGATCGCTTCTTTATTAATATTGACCTAATTATAATTGTTTTTCTTTTTGTAATAAAATCCTTTCTCTTTATTGAAGACAAATCCTTTAAACGCTAATAAATGATCGATAATACCGTATTTTATGGGCCAAACCACCCCCTGTCGATTATGTGAAGATTTCAATGGTGTGGTGCATATCAGGATCAGAATCGTATTGTTATACTATAATGTTATACTATAATGTACATATAGAAATTTCTGTATAACCCATAATTGTTTTATATGACAGGGGGTGGTTTGGCCGGTAGTAAGAATGTTCAAAAATTTTTCCAAATTTATATAATGGTATTCGCCTTCATGCAGATTTAGGTATCACATATATGTAGGGAATGTTACGTATTGTACGAACAACTTTTGAATTTAAGAACTCTCTCCACCATTCCTTCATAATGAGTGATAATGATATCGAATCTGAATCATCTATTAATAAAGAACATTCTTTAACAAATTCTGATACAAAATGGATGGATTATTACAAAGAACGGATTCGATCACCAGCAGGTCATTATGAAATAAAACCTACTGTGCCTGACTCAGTAGACCCTGTTAAATGGAAAAATTATCAAAAAGAGCTATTCAATTTTTTAGAATATATGAATTTAGTTCCAGTTTTTTCTGAACTTATTCTTATCAATAAACTATTAGAAGATTTTCCAAATAAGTCCAATCAAAAGATAATCGATGAATATAAAAAAACTGTAGAAGATAAAAATAGACCTAAAACAAAGCATTCAAGAAAGGAAGAGAGTAATAATCAGAAGAAAACGAGTGATACGTTTTATCAAAGAAAAGAAAAACGTAGTCGTAATGTCAAATTCGCTAAAAATTTGTTAACAGCAACTTAAAAATTAGGAAATGATAAATTTAGAAAAAATTTTTTTAATCAGGCAAAATTTCCGATGTCTATATTGACTGATAAGGACATTACACCAATAATAGATGAGTTTAAGGGGTTATTTAGGGATTTTCAAATTTAATTTGTTATTTTAACATTTTTTTATGATTAGTAATTTGTATGTATAAGTAGATTAAGATATTTGACAAATTAAAGATGCAAATCACTAACTCTTCCCAACGATCACTTGTACCAAGTTTTCTCTAAAAACAATTGCACTTTTCTCAATAT